AATAAGCGACCGTCACATAAACACTACCCTATACCGGAAACCTATTGACCGCTATACTTGTCTACATGCCTCCAGCTTTCATCCAGACCACATCACACAATACACTGTCTACAGCCAAGCTCTAAGATACAACCGCATTTGCTCCAATCCCTCAGACAGAGACAAACACCTACAAGATCTCTATCAAGCGTTCTTGAAACTACAATACCCACCTGCTGAAGTGAAGAAACAGATTGAAAGAACCAGAATACCTAGAAGTCACCTACTCCAGGACAGGCCCAACAAAGAAAATAACAGAACGCCACTAGCCGTCACCTTCAGCCCCCAACTAAAACCTCTCCAGCACATCATCAAGGATCTACAACCTATCCTGAAGGATGATCCCTCACTCTCACAGATCTTGGGAGACAGGCCAATCCTCACTTACAGACAGCCCCACAACCTGAAGCAAATACTCACCAGCAACCACACACCACACAACAAAAACACTAACCCAGGAACCTATCCTTGCAACAAAGCCTGTTGCCAACTCTGTCCACATATCTATTCAAGGGACACCATCATAGGATCTAATCACATCAGCCACACCATCAGAGGCTTATTCACCTACACATATACCAAAGTGACATATGCCATCATGTGCCAGCAATGCCCCTCTGCCATGTACATTGGCCAAACTGGACAGTCTCTACGCAAAAGAATAAATGGACACAAAACAGATGTCAAGAATTATAACATTCAAAAACCAGTCGGAGAACACTTCCATCTCCCTGGTCTCTCAATTACAGACCTAAAAGTTGCAATTCTCCAACAACAAAAAAACTTCAAAAATAGACTCCAACAAGAAACTGCAGAATTGGAATTAATTTGAAAACTGGACACCATTAAATTAGGCTTGAATAAAGACTGGGAGTGGATGGGTCATTACACAAAGTAAAAACTATTTCCTAATGCTAATTTTTCCCCTATTGTTACTCACACCTTCTTGTCAACTGTTGGAAATGGGCCATCCTGATTATCACTACAAACGTTTTTTTATTCCTGCTGATAATAGACCACCTTAATTGATTAGTCTTGTTAGAGTTGGTATGACAACACCCATTTTTTCATGCTCTCTGTGTGTATATATCGTCCTACTGTATTTTCCACTGCATGCATCTGATGAAGTGGGTTTTAGCCCACGAAAGCTTATGCTCAAATAAATTTGTTAGTCTCTAAGGTGCCACAAGTACTCCTCGTTCTTTTTGCTGATACAGACTAACACGGCTACCACTGTGAAACCTGTTACTAGTTTCAGACTCTGTTAAAAAACTAATGTAGACAGGAGCTAAAATAAACTAGTTAGTTTCATTTTCTGGTTCTGTGCCCCAGCACAGCATAAGCTTGGAGCTTACAACAATTAAAGGAGTAAAAGTTTTCATTGCAAACATACATTTTTTAAATTAATATAAACATTTATATGCATAATTAGGATTTATACTTATTTTTAAAAATAAAACCTTAAATCAGTTAAAAAAATAATACTGTAACAAACATAAAAGGTGAAAAAGGTAGGCCAATCTGGAAAAATGTGCATGAGCAGAAGAAAATATTTTAAGAATTCAAATTTATTTTTATGTTATCTAACGCTCTGCTGAAAAGGCTTCTCTATTTAAATAGATCTTGCCTGTGGAAGAGTTACAGAACTTTACCAAGAAACAGAACAGTCTAATAACAACAATTAAAAGTCTAAGCTGGTTACTTGTTATTTATTACCATCAGAAGCCACTTATTTTTGTTTGAGAAGATTCATGCAGATTATCCGTTCACCAATTTCTAATACACATTTCCATTGTGTACATGAAATTTTAGTTTCTTCAGGCCTTCTTTTTCAGAAGCACTTTACCTATCTAAAAGCTGCCACTGTAACAAATTATCATCTATTGAAAACAGATACAAGTTTGGCTGAAGTAACTGTAAGTCTTCCAAAGTGTTTTTTGCAGTAGCAACTGATATTTAAGTGGTTTTCCATTTTTTCCATATTCTATTGCTCTTACACAATTTTTTTAATTGAGTGATTTATTTCATATGCAAAAATTAGTTTCATAGTCTATCTTTAGGAGCATTTTTTAATGGATGGACCAAAGTGATACTTTAGATCAGTAGTCCCCAACTTTTTCCGTGGGGCGGGCGCCGGACGACTAGCCGCCAAGGACCGTGGCCGCCGGACAAGCAGCCGCTGAAATGCCGCCATGAAGCGGCAACGTCAAGAGGCGTCGCTGCCAAAATGCCGCCGAAATTCGGTGGCATTTCGGCGGTAGCGCTTCTTGACATTGCCGCTTCATGGTGGCATTTCGGCATCTGCTTGTCCGGCGGCCAAGAGGCAGGCGCACATGGATGCTCCGGCGGGCGCCGCAGCGCCCGCGGGCACCGCATTGGGGACCCCTGCTTTAGATCATGTAAACATGATCGTGGGTATTTGCCTTAAAAGACCACAATAACTGCAGTCCATCCACTACTGAATTCAGTACTATTGAAACCACTTGGCCCAATAAGGTTATCATGATTTAAGCGTGGTAGGGTTTTAATTAAATTGAGACAAACGTTTCTGTGATGAAATCGCTTACAAAATTGACTACAACGTTACAAAACCTGAAACCATAAGTCCTAATGCCCAATAACTTGGTCGGCTAGACCTCAAAAAAAAAATCTATTAAGTGATAGAACAGATGTCCTAGTTAAACATTTCATTTTAAAAAATTAACTAATTTAGAATCATCTAAAAGCACCTGAAACATGTAGTTAAATTCCTTAGGCCAAATTTAGCTTTGGCCCAATGAGGTGCAACTCCATTAACTTCATACAATCAGATCTGCTTATACTAGGTCTGAGTTTAGTCCACTGTTTTAAGACATCTTGCAGTTAAAATAAATACATGAACAAAACCATGTCAGGTGAAAATGTACGCTCTTTTTATTTAACAGATCTGTTTTTGATGCAAATAAATCCTCCACGCAGCCTTAGCTACAGCTTTGTAAAAAACGATAAATCCTGTGCTGAGCTAGAAATGATTTATGATACGGCAATACAATGAGTAAGTTAAACAGAAAGGAACGAAAAGGGAAACCAAAAGGATTTACTGCAGTCCAGCAGAAAGGGTTTCATGTGAGAGGAAGGTCCTTTTACCATTTATGATCCTGTCTCAGGGCTATTGAGATCCACTAGTCGCTATAAGAATATTAATTTTCTTAACACCTTAACTTTACTTGGTTAATATGAAGTAAGAGAGACCAACACCACTAAAGTGCCTTTCCAGCCAGCATTCATTTACAGTATTTGTGGAAGAGTGACCTCACAGGGTTTTCTGTATGTTTTAAATACAAACTATTTAGATCTGGCCTATATTATTAAAACTACCACACTGTAACATGGTAGTACCATGTATGGTTCAGTCTTCCAAGTGTAGATGGAACCAAACCAAATTTTAATTGAGTTACCAAGTCATGCTGCAGAAGACACATGAAGTTCAAATTTACAGCAAGGTTCTGGACTGCAGTTTGGTCCCATCTACATAAGATCAATAGTTGACAAGGACTATCATGTTGTAACCAAGTCCCACAACACACTAGTTTTTCTAGTATAGATGGGACCTTAGTGCGAGCTGGAGAATTCCGAAGCCAACCAAATTTTCTTAAAATGTAAAAGGCACGAGACATCTCTGTCATTCAGACTTATTTACTGATTCTATAAGCACTAGCGTAGCAAAAAGTGCAAAGTACAAGAGGTTCTAAGCAACTCAGAGAGGGCTTTACTCAAAGGGCAAGTTGTATTTCCCTTCAGACTCCAGATTTCTACCTCAAGCCTCACAACTTCACCTCAAGGAAATATCCATACCACAGAACAGAGAGAACTTCCAGATGAATCACCTTATGCTTCCTAAAACGAAAAATTACAGGAATCAGAGATTTTTCTCCATTTCCCAATGTGCCAAGTGTAGCTTACAATAAAAAACTTGAAGATCATGCCACGCTGTTCCTCACCATCAAAATTATACCCCCCTCCCAGCTCTTGCAATGTCTCCCAGTCCATACATTTTAACTCCTGCTCTGCCTCCACTGCCAAATCCCTTGCCCAAAACAACTCCTGTGTTGTCCCCCTTCCCCAAGCACCTAACCCACGCTAGCCCTATGGCCCAAACACTCGTCCCCCAATCTCATCTTCGGCGCAGGTCTTGTTCTGCCCCCCAATTCCACCACCTCACCTCTTCCATGCATCTTCTCCACCAAGTCCTTTGCATCTCCCATGACCCACCAATTCCACCTCCATCTATTACCACCTCACCAGCATTGCCCCAACTCCACATTTGCTCGAGACACTGTTGTCCCCTCCCCCCGATTTGTCCCCTAAACATGACCTCCTCCACTGCCTCCTATTTCGAGTCACATCTTGCACAGTCTCCCTCTATTTTGCCCCCCTAAAAAACTTGCACTTCTCCCCCAAGGTCTCTCAGTCCCTGTTACAATATATAGCAGTACAGGATGTACGGTATTTTACACATTTACACCCCCCTTAGTATCAGAGGGGTAGCCGTGTTAGTTGGAATCTGTAAAAAGCAACAGAGGGTCCTGTGGCACCTTTAAGACTAACAGAAGTATTGGGAGCATAAGCTTTCGTGGGTAAGAACCTCACTTTTTCAGATGCAAGTGAAGAAGTGAGGTTCTTACCCACAAAAGCTTATGCTCCCAATACTTCTGTTAGTCTTAAAGGTGCCACAGGACCCTCTGTTGCTTTTTACACCCCCCCTTAGATAAGCTGTTCCCTCTCCTGCCTTTCTGCTGCATACAACCCGCACTATACCTCCCCCAGACTATCCTGCTGGCCCAATCCCCTATCCATCTGCTGAACCCTCAACCCCTTTGTGTCTCCTGCTCAGCTCCCCCAACCCCTTTGTCTCTTCTGTTCCTAGTTATAACGCAGCTCGCCCACTTCCCCCTGCGGATCCTGTCCCCCCGAGTGCTCACCCCCGCGCTGGGCGCTGTGCTTGGCCGGGAGCCCGTTGTTGTAGGGTTCCCAGATCTTCTGCAGCGGGTTCTGCGTGAGCTCCCGGGCCGGCGACGCCGCCATCCTTGCATGGGGCCCCGATCCACCGGCAGTAGTAGCAGCGGCTGCTGGGGAAAAGCCGGGCGCTCTGCAGCGGCAGCCGGCGGAGTGTAGCTGCAGCTCCGCCTCCTCGGCCCACCGAGGCCCGGAACAAGGAGACGAGGAGGGACTGAGCAAACGCGCCCCCAGCGCCGGACTCGAACAGCGCAGGGAAGGCGAGGGAGCACCGTACAACACCCCGCCCCGGAGCCTTGCACCAGGGAGGGGCGGGTAGCTCCCAAGTCCCCACAAGCCGGGGCTACCCACCGACGTACAGGAGGCGGAGGGGCGGGAAGCGCCCTACGGGCTGTCCATTCAGTCCGCATGCCTCTGGGAGAGATGGGAGGCCGAGAGAAACCAGAGTTCTTTGTTGCGGCACTTACAATGGTTCCAAGTGAGCAGCGAATAGTTTGAGGCCAAAATTCAAATCCTCTCAAAAAACGGTCTTAATCATATAGCAACCCTCCCGCCCCCCGTCTTTTTTTTTTTAAATATCTCATTGGGTCAAACAAACAAAAATAAATAAATCAAACCTATTGCTCAACCTACAGAAGCGTCAGTATCTTTTGCAATCCTTTTGCAGCTTACTACTTCCCATGGCTGTGCTAAAATCACTTACGTTGGTTAACCATACAAATAAATAAATACTTTAAAAAACAGAGACTGTACAGGAATCTCTAATTTTACTTCAGGTTTACAGGCTGACAATGTGTCTACACTAGGGGTCGACAAAAGTACATCTATATAGTCAACTCGGTGCAGTTTTCCGTAATATAAGGAAGCCTTGGGAAATTGTTGGAGCTTAATTGTACACCGCCTAAACTGTTGGCTGAATTTGACCAGACAGCATCCCCATTATGCTATATAATAGGGGTTGGCAACCTTTGGCACGCAGCTCGCCAGGGTAAGCATCCTGGCAGGCCGGGCCGGTTTGTTTACCTGCTGCGTCCGCAGGTTCGGCCGATCGCGGCTCCCACCGGCCGCGGTTCGCCGCTCCAGGCCAATGGGGGCGGTGGGAAGCAGCACGGGCTGAGGGATGTGCTGGCCACCGCTTCCCACTGCCCCCATTGGCCTGGGACAGTGAACCGCAGCCAGTAGGAGCTGTGATCGGCCGAACCTGCCGACGCGGCAGGTAAACAAACTGGCCCGCCAGGGTGCTTACCCTGGCAAGCCGTGTGCCAAAGGTTGCTGACCCCTGCTATATAAATTTGACCAGAGTGTGTCTATACAGCTATATATATTTCTGCAGTTTGCAGGGGAAACTCTCTGCAAAGATTTCCAAGGTAGGTACTCCACACTTTCTGAACAATCAAGCTTCTTAAACATGTCTCAAACTGGACATCCAGAAATGGAGGCATTGAAAACCTCTAGTCCCTTTCAAAAAATGTAGGCAACAATTTTTTTTTAAATCGGTTTTTGTACCTTGGGTAAGGGAGGAAGGAGCAAGTACTTATTCCAGGGCTAGTCAAGAGCTAATTCTCCACCACCGTTTTTTACATTGATTACTCTGGTGAGGATACAAGTCTGTTAGCCTTTCTTGCTTGCATCTGTTCTGGAAAATGAGCCAGGTTTGAACCTCTATTCCAAATATGCCTCTTCTGCCATGAGCTACCCCTGTACTGTAAATGACCTTTACTGCTGGCATAAAGAGGGACAAGTCTTATTTAATTCCTGATGCACAAGGAGATGGCAACCACACTTTGCTCTTTTCTGGAGCAGTTTGGCCTGTCTATATCAACTGCCAAACATTGTTCGGCCATAGTTATATCAGATATGGCCCCCTCTTAAAAAGAGTCCAACTGTTTATTTTCGAGGACTCCACAGTTTCTTTTCGAAGCTCGCAAACAAGGATTCAACATGACCCCTTTAGCAACTGGGATTTATTCTAAGATTAAATGGCCAATTTTAAAAAAAATATTTGCATATACCTTTCTGCTTGCTTCTGAGGGGGTAATATATTTCAATTCACTGCATATGAAATTTGATTCTAGGCAGGAGGCTTTTGTTACAGTTTAATGCTCCTTATTACTCCATTATCACAGCGTCATGCTGTCCTGAGGCTGATCTGGGCTGAAGAGGCAATACATATAATACATTTTTATGTAGCATCTTTCATCCAAACCTCCACACACAATACCCAAAGGAAAAGAAGTCTTGAACACTAAAGCATAGGTGCTGGAACTAGGGGTGCTGTTGCACCCTCTGGCTTGAAGTGGTTTCCATTATATACAGCATTTACAGTTTGGTTCAATGGCTCTCAGCACCCCCACTGTACAAATTGTTCCAGCACCCTTGCACTAACGGGATAAAGATACGAACACAAAATTACTTTCTGTACCCTAAATAATAATATGGTAATTTGTAGTTACACGGCAGACAGTACTCAATTAAAAAATAAGATTGCATTGTATTGCAGCCATTAACAATACACAAAATGTTATACACAAACACAGGGAAGTGTTCTCCTTTTCTGCAGATGGACTTGTTGTAAGCAAGTGCAATCAAACTCTGTTAGACTATATACCTCAGAATATTCTTTAAAACCATATTAAAAATACTGCACATCTGCAGTATACAGTACTAAAACAGTAATGAAGATATTTCTTATCCATATTTCTTCAAATATGTGAATGTCATCTTCTGCACTAAAAGCTAAAACCATGCCAAGAGGTTAGTCTTTAAAAGGGACATTACACACTAAAGGGTTTTAATACAGGTTGTTTTCATAAAACTTTACATTTTGGGTAAAATTTAAGGTCACACAATTGGGCACAAAATCAAGCGAATACAGTTGTTTTCAAACAAACATATATCAAGGTTCTTATACTGTACTGGTGCTAATCACCCTAGTACCCAAGCATCTTCAGCATTTGAAACTTAAATATTTTGAACAATTTAGGACCTGACAGTGAATCTGAATACAAACAAAAAGTTAAGCTAATTTCATTGTCCAAACTGAGAAAAATTCTACAAAGTAAATAAGACACATTCAAAATTATTTCACTTATAATAATCTACATTCAATAAAATGCATTAAATATTCATTTTCTATTTCCAATAAGTGTTCAAATGTTATGAGACTGACTTAAAAATTATGAGATTTAAAAATAAAAATAAATGGTGGGCCCTTCTTATTTGCCTTTAGGGGTTTTGAGCCTTTAGGGGTTATGTTTTCAAGCTTTTCTTCATAACCACAAAGGCTGGAAACTTACTTTTTAAAATGAAAGCTGAGATTCACACATAACCACAAAACTGGGGTTGTACGAAAAACACTATATATCACAAGACCCATGATACAACTGCAAGAGTTGGCAATGCTGCATATTTATTTTCTCTCTCCTTAGCACTTCCATTTGCTTGGTTTCTCTCTCCCCTTCCATCTCATTTCCCCTCCTCTTGTTTAATGTTCAGTGTTTCCCTGCAGGTCCATCACATTCAATATCTTGTCTATCCAGGAGACTTGACAGCAATGGGAGAATGAGTTAAAATATGTCACAAGAGTCAAGAAACTTAAAGCTGAGCAAGTGAGAGAGAAATGAATTTTTATACTGCTCAAAACTCTTAATTTATTTGTTAATATCCATTTAATTCCAGTGAGTAATCAACATTTTGGAAAAAATATACATCTTTGTGAAAGATTCAGCACCTCACCCCTTCAACTGATGTGCAAAATCTCACAATACACATCCTCCAAAACTGACAAATAGTCCTCCAGTAAAGCCAAGCATGTCCAGGTTTGACATTCCTGATATCTACAAAACTAAAATAAGCAGAAATAATATTTTTACTTACAAATAAAAACCACACCTGCTTTTCAGGCCTTCTTGACACTTAAAAGTATGAAATAGCAAAAAGTCAATTTCTCCCCCAGTTCTTTGCAATTCATCTCTGAAAACTGACTACGGAAAAGAAACACCTTCCCCTCAGCAGATTTGCTCCACACATGCATCCAGAGAAACAGCTTGTTTTAGTGACAAAGGGCTAGATTTACAAAGGTATATTTAGGTGACTAAAGATGCACGTAGGTGAGTGCACTTTTGAAAACCCCAGCAGGCACCTATCAGAATCTTTAGTCACCTACATTTGTAAATGGAGCAATTTTAGATTGCTTTTGGCATTCACAGAGCAGGTGCATAGGTAGACCATTGCTTTTGGGCTCGTGAAACAGGCACTGGATGGTGGGATCATATCATTATGCAGGTGTGGGATGCATGTGAGCAGTGGCTACAGAACTTTCAGACGTGGAAAGCCACCTTCCTGGATCTGTGCACAGAGCTCGCCCCAGATCTGTGGCACAAGGACACCAGAATGAGAGCTGCCCCCTCAGTAGAGAAGCATGTAGCAATTGCTGTGTGGAAGCTGGCAACTCCAGACTACTACCGGTCAGTCATGAATGAATTTGGAGTGGGGAAATCGACCGTTGGGGCTGTGTTAATGCAAATTTGCAGGGCAATAAATCACATCTTGCTACGAAGGACTGCGACGCTGGGAAATGTGCGTGAAATAGTGGACGGCTTTGCAGAAATGGGTTTCCCTAACTGTGGAAGGGTGATAGATGGCACACACATTCCAATTTTGGCACCAGATCACCTTGCGATGCAGTACATCAACAGGAAGAGGTATTTCTCCATGGTGTTGCAGGCACTTGTGGATCACTGTAGGTGTTTCACTGACATCAACATGAGGTGCTCTGGGAAGGCGCACAATGCATGCATCTTCAGGAACACCGGCCTCAGAGGTGAAAGTAAGCCGGTACAGCGTACCGGCAAGAGCCAGTACACCGTGCCTGACTGGACCGGCTTCCGTGGCGGTGCTTTAAAGGGCCCAGTGCTCCTGCCGCTGCGGGGAGCCCCGGGCCCTTAATTCATCCCGGGGCTCCCAGCTGTCTCTGCAGCTGGTAGCTCTGGGGTGATTTAAAGGCCCTGGGGCTCCCAGCCACAGCCGGAACCCCAGGGCCTTTAAACCTTGAAAGGCCCCGCCTCTTCCAGTTGAGGCCACACCTCTTCCAGTTGAGGCCACGCCCCTGCTCAGGACTCCAGCGTACCGGTAAGTCCTTTAAGTTACTTTCACCCATGATTGGCCTGAACAGAAAGCTGCAAGCAGGGACTTTCCTTCCTAACCAGAAGATTACAGTGGGGGGTGTTGAAATGCCAATAGTGATC